CTGCTTTTTGCATTGGAGTCTCCCAAAAAAACCTAGTGAAAAGAAGTTTGATATCTTCGTAGGGCATTTTGCGATTTCGGCTACTTCTTGGGGGCCTACCCAACAGATGCCTCAAGGAAGTTGACAAGTTCATTGCTGGTCCTAATTAGATATTTCAAGGCCACTTGGTGATAAGTTCACCTTCTGCAAATTAGTAAATGTTCCATCTGTTTCAAGGATATTTTGTATTTGTTTTTTATTTTGGTTAAATGTCAATTTTGGTCCTCAATTTTAGGGTTTTTCATAGTTTTTGTCCTTTAATTTTTATATACTTTCATCTTTTAACGTAAAATAAATACGCTTTTTTTTTTGTTTTTTTGTTAGTTAATCAGATCAATTTGTTTGAATATACATATTTTTAATCCATCAATTATAATATATGCATATTTTTCATCTCTCAATTTAAAAATTCAAGAACCAAAAATGTGTATACATGGATATATTTATGAATATATTTAGCAAACTAATTATATGTTTCAGTTAAGGAGAATGGATGGGAGAAAAGAATTTTAATTAATCAAATTATAGCATTTTCAAAACATTATAATTCAATTGGTTAAAAAGTTTTTCCTCCTCTCCCCTTTATTCCCTTAATTCAAATATACTATAATTGACAAAGGGATTATAAAGTACATTTTTTATACTTAAGAAACCAAAAAAGTATATATAAAAAAAAGATAAAACCTATGCAAAATTTTAAAGTTAATGGATCAAAATTGATATTTAATCTTTTATTTTTTTTCCCAAGGCAGTTTCTTCTTCTTTCCTCTTCTGTTTTTTTTTTTTTTTTGGGAAATGAGCAAGCTGTATGTTAATTCAGAATGGAAAGTGACAAATTTGGATTATTCCATCAGTGTTTTATCTGCTCAATTTCCATCATACTCTCTGATCCACATCCTTTCAATCAAAATCGATCGAAATAAAACCAAGAGGAAATAACCTAATCTTTATTCATAACATCCATAGTCCGTAAAAAGTCATGCAAGTCCCACAACCTTGGCTTTATTCTGTTTTTTTTATTTACAACACAAAACAGTTGTTCAACTAGTTGGTACTTTACTTACGGCGCAGTTTCCCTTTTAAATTTCTTGGCAATCCTACTGGAAATGCAATAGGAGGTGGACTGAATGGTGATCATGGGATTCACTCCAATTGCAGTGGGCAGCACACTTCCATCACTTACGAACAGGCCTTCTGCTTCCCAACTCTCACCGTTCTCATCAACCGCTCCTTCCTCCTCTGTAGCTCCCATTCTACAGCTTCCCAAATGATGTCCCGCGTAACATACATTCCAGGTCTCATTCTTGGACTGCATCCCTCCTGTAGAGGATACATCATCCAGGAACTCCTCCAAGCTTTCCTTGGTAAGTCCTCTGCATTTGATTCTTTGACCGTCACTTCTATAGGTTCCCACTTCTTCTGCTCCAGCTGCAATTAGAATTCTCAATGTCTGCCTCAACCCGGTTCTCAGATTTTCTTCGTCGATCTCACTCAATCGATACTTGATCTTTCCCTCTTCCATCACTTCCCCCGTACCCTGGTCTTTCACCAATACAAAAAGGTGAGCGGTTCTGGGAAGCTTCAACATCCTTTCCTTCAGGTCAGCTCCTGAAATCCAAGGAGATAGTGCTGCATAAGTGGCTGGTCCAAGCGCAGCAGCCTCTATAAGCGCAACCATTTTGGAATCTCCTGAAACAACCTTGTAAAGTGAAGTGATAATTCCTCCCTCGAAGATTTTGCCTTTGATTCCCGATGCATCTTCTGGAAAGTATCCCCAAGCTAGAAGAAACGGTTGGTGATGGAGATTCCGGCCGATGTTTGGATTCTGCAATCCGCTTGAGATCATTAAAGGTGGTGTCAATAGAGATCCACAAGCTGAAACTGTAACCTTAGCCTCAATCTGCAGCTTCTTCGTCAGATTCTTGTTCAATGCTGTTGCTATCACTCCCAAACATTTCTTCTTTCTCCTTCCATTGTCATTATCTACCAATATGAACCTCTCAGCTTTAGTTCCCGTTAGGATCACGGCACCACGGGCCACAGCATCGACCAACCAGGTAGAATCAGTTCCCTTCTTGTCTCCTGTTCTGCATCCGAAATTGCAAGAACCGCAGAAATGATTCTCCGATGAATTCCTCGGCGCTTGCTCGACTTTCAGGCCAAGATTCTCACACCCTATTCTCAAGATTTGGTTTTGAAATCCTTCCTCTGAACACTTATCCGTGACACCAAGCCTCTTACATACAGCATCCATGGCAGAATGATACTCATGGTTGCCAAAAAATGGGATCCTATGATCCACAGACCACTCTCTCAGAACATCCTCCGGTGTTCTGATGGATGCAGACCAGTTAACAGCAGAGCCTCCGCCCACTGTAGACCCCGCCCAAAGTGAAACTCTCCCGTCCACAGTGGACAAAAATCCACCACCCTCATATAGCTCAAACATAGAAGGCCCTTCTAGGGAAGAATAGTCTTCTGGAACAAAATAGTTCCCTTTCTCAAGAACAACAACTTTCTGGCCGGAGCTTGCAAGAATTCCGGCAGCCACCCCTCCTCCACAACCAGAACCAATCACCACTACATCACACCTGATCTTGTAGATGTTGTGTTCTGGATCATCAATGACTTGAAGGCCTTTTTGAGTAAGTGATTGGACAAAAGATGAGTCATTTTCATGTATTGCTTCTATGATACCCTTCTCAAGCGGTCTGCCTTGGGGATATGTCTTCTTCTCCCTGTTGTCTACATGGTACCCTATAGCTTTCCACGTTGGATTTTCTGAGTTTTCATCAGTCTGTGACAAACCGCGAAATTTTTAGCTTGGAAATGCTAATGAGAAAAATTAGAGAACAGAATGAGAAAATAAATGAGAGATGGCATATACAAGCCTTCAATGGGTTATCACTTATCACAATCAGTACATTTTTGAAACTCAAAATTAAAAGTTTTTAATTCAAACTGACAAATGAGGAGAAATTCAAGAAAGGGGTTGGTTATTTAAACTATCTCTATTATATCAACATCTTCCCTCTCCCCAAGCAGGTACTATGTTTTTAATGGCTAACCGCCTTTTCTTTGAAGAATACCCAATGAATCAGTAAGATGGTGATAAAAAGAGGTAAAAAAAAAAGAGAGTAAAAACCTTGTATTAAACTCTTGAATTTATTTTAAATTCTTGATTAAACTCTTAAATTTTTATTGAAGCAGAATATGTCTTGAAATTTTTTGATTTAGACAATTTAATTATTATTTTTATAATAAACTTAATGCTTGTTTGTCTCTTACTTGTGTGGATAAAATCAATATTTACTAAGTAGGTATTGCATGTTAATATTTTATTTATACAAAGAATGCACAAACAGTTATTAAATTTATTATAAAAAATAATTAAATTACTTAAATTATCAACTTAAAGGGGTTATGTATTTCAATAAAAGTTTAAAAAATTAATTAAAAATTTAGAATAAGTTCAGTGGTTTAATATAGGATTTTGCCCTAAAATAATAATAGAGAAAAGTTATTTTCAATCCGGATGGCCAAGAAAAATGCTAATCTAGGCTGACAATGATTAAGGTGTAATTAATAAATTGAGACATTTTTTTAGCTAGTCCAAACAGAGAAACAGAGATAGCATAATAGTTTGACAAGTACTGAAAATAAAATTTAACAAAGAGGAAACAAAATTGTGGGATAGGGCCAAAAGGTATTACCCGGGAGAAGAATGTGAACAGGCAGAAGGTTTTGATTAGCACAAAGACTACCCTTAGAAGTATCAGAAACCTCCCCCTTGACCATTGCATGAGGATTTCTTCTCTCCTCTCCACAGAAAGCTCTGAAAACTTGTGGATAAGTGGCCATTCCCTTGAAAGACAAAGCCTGCCACAGAGCAACAGGGTTCCCAATCTGAAGGAAAGAATTTTTAGAACTAAGCTGACCAGTGATACAGCTGGGGGTAGACTCCTCTTCACCAACATCTCTGCTGTCTGTTTAAAATTGAAAACATATATATTAGTTAAAATGATAAATGTTTGCTACAAATTAATGAATAGAAATGGATTTTATCAAAACAGGAAGTAGCACAAGGAGGTTTTCTACAATAGAAAATTTGGGTTGACACCAACTTCCAGATTTACTAAAAAGTTGGGACTAGAAAAGTTTGCCCAAAAAACCATATAAAAGTTCAAATTGAGAGAGAGGAAAACCCAGAGACTTTATTAAGAGAGAAACTAGCCCAAGAATTCTTCTTTATTTAGTATCAAATAATTGTGTATAGACTTGAGACCAACCTCAGAGAGAAGAAAGGATGGGGAAATATTACGTTTACCTCATCAGGGATGGGAGGGTGAGACCCAGAAGCTTTGTAGAAGTATTGAAGGGGATGGTCCATGGGTTTCTTCCCCTCAGGCAGTGGCAGGGGAGGGATGAGAACTTCACAGATGGAAGCCAGAGTTTGGATTTGAGCTGGGGAGAAGCCATGACTAGAGCTATACAGAATCCTACCCCCTCTAAGTAGAGGATGGCTGGTTTTGTTGCCTTCCATTTTCTCCTTCTTTGCTTCTCTTTCTTCCATTGGTGTTTAGACTTCAGAATTCTAGAGAATTGGTTTGTTAGTAAAGGTTTGAAAGTCTATATATTTTATTCACAGTTTTGGAGCTTTCTACGAAGAGAAGAACCAATGAAAGAAAGCGGCTATCCCGTCGAGCATATGGACCCTCCGCTGCACTTATCTTTCAGAGATATTTTTCATGAATTTTCGAATTTTGATTTGGATGGCTAACCTTTTTTCAAAAGGATTTTTCTAATTTTACTCCTTAGGCACATGTTAATGTTAAATGTATAATTAATGAATCTTTTAATCTTTAATTTATATTAAAAATACAAAGTTAATATTAAG